GGGAGCCTGTGCAGGAAGTCACAAACACATGATTAAAACTCTAAACTGCTGTAAAATAAGGTGTGTGAGACTAAAAATCACAATTATCAGCTTCACTTGCCCATAAGTGCGATGAGGTCAGTCATGGCCTCATGAACAGAGCCACCAAACACCCCTGAGTGCAAGTCCTTTCCACCACACTCCACCTTGAGGTTGGAATGTAAAACATTATTTTAAAATACACAGCTTGTGTCTCTCCCCACCAACAATAATCCAACAGGACTTCACCTCAATGAAGAAATAGCAGATTCCTCTCAGGCCGTAGGTGATGCAGGGTTTGTTCTTGCCCAGCCAGTAGTTGTCAGAGATGCAGACGTAGTCCACATCTTTAAAGAAAGTGTCCTTTCTAGAAAACACAAGATCATCCAGACCCTCAGATCCAGATTCTTCCATCCCCTCGAAGCAGAATTTGATGTTGATGGGAAGGTCCTGCAACAAGAAGAGAGATGCATAAGAAAGAAAAAAAAAAAAAATCAGAAGACTACAATTTGGTCACTGGTTCAAGTTTAAATTCAGGCTCATTGTGAATTTGTTTTTCTCATTTTCTAAAGATAAAATAGTTGATTAAACTCATATTTTTAATTTGGACTCCCTGCACATGCTGACTGTTGATCTTTTATCTCCAGCCTTTGCTACGCGAGAACTTTCCTTTAACGCTTTAAAGTACAGTCCAGTACAATTCAGGAAAAAGCAAAGACGATGTGCTTCAGTTTAAACTGTTAGGTTTATATTGTTGATTGTCATTTATGCTTAGAAATATTTAACCATATATGCTTAGAGGTGTATAATCAATTGTGTAGTGATAGGATGTGTGATCCTTAGGAGTCTGCAAAGTGTTCTGAGTGTTCTGGCATTCACACCCACATCCTGGGAGCATGGGAGAGGTCTACCTTCTTTTATTCATTTGTGGTAGGATAAACGTAGCTATGTCAGTTTTAGTCTAAGTGCCTTTTGTTTAGATGAACTACTGGACTTCCAGACCAGCAGGTTTAGGGAAGTCATTTATGGGGTCACACTCTGACCCCACACGCACGCTTACACAACGCACAGGCAAGGTACTCTTTGTGTGTATGTAGACGTCATATGTTAATGCACCTATGCATATTCATGTAACCTCAATAAAAGCAGTGTTACGGGGGAGCGGACGAGAGCAACTGGGGTCAAGCGAAGGGACGGCGTTTGTCCAGTTCTCTCCCATGCACGAGAAACATAAAGAACTTTGCCTACTCGTGTCTTGCTTTGCTGTGTAATTAAATTGTCCTTAACGTTCCAGCGAATAGGTTTATGCTACAACCCTATCATAAACATGATTCCTGTACGACAATCCTACCCCGGGACCTTTGACCAAGACATTTACTGCTGACAGCTCTGAAGCAATCAACAAGTGATCTGCAAATCAGTGGTGTACTTTAACAGAGATAATCCATTTCTAAGAATGACGATTAATCAGTTTGGAAATGCAGCCATGTACTTAGCTGTTCCATGTTGCAAAGCTTTGTTCTTAATCACCTTATTTCTAATTATGCACATTAATAAATCAAATACAACCTACATAACCCAAAAATACACTTACTAATACTTAATATTACACAGGTTTTACATTTCTCACGATAAGTTTTAATAATAAAACTGAGCATGAGTCCAAACTAAGCATATAATTAATCTTATGTGTGATATGAATGACCCACATATCATTTTAGAATACAGTGCTATATAGTAGCTATTCTGCTTTATCATCACTGTACAAAAAAAAAAACCTTGATAATATTCTAAGTAGCGGTGTACGTTTACAGATTCTGAAATAAACCATCACACCTCAATATACTCCTGTCAGTAATTTCAAGCGTTTCAAGTCACTGTTCAAACAGGGTTTTTTTTTTTCCCAAGAAACACTAAAATATCATATCATTCTTTCAACTATCTGAACTTGAAACACCTTTTGTTGGCAGTGACTGTACCTTTCCGATCTTCTGATACGCTTCAATGCAGTTAAACCAGGCCAACACTGGACCCTTGTCATCAGTAGATCCTCGTCCATAGAGCTTACCTACAAAAAGAAAACTTTATTTCAGTTTCAAGGTTCTAATGAGAAGATAGTGGAGTTGACAAATGACACTAAGGTTATGTTTATTACATAGTCAGCAAACGACAGTGCCCCATTTTAAGCTTGTTTAAATCATGACTAAGGTTATGTTTAACAATATGAAACCCTTGTTCATGGTTTTTTTTAAAAAAGGTCTGCAGCAAGTTTTTGTAAAATGTGACATAATCAGCACTAACACAGCTGAGCAGGCAGGAATGAGACAACGGGAAAAGGATGTGGCATTTTGTGTCAGCTGACTCAAAACGCACAAGATCACGCATGCTGAGTCCAACAAACCAGAACTTTAAGGAAGCAAAAAGCTCTTTAACATCCATCCATGTCTGTTTAAATCCAGATATATGTCGTAATAATACAACACACAGAACATCTAAAGAACGCCTCACTTGAGCCATTTTGCCTTTTCACAAGCTGAGTCTGGTCCAAAAGCTTCTAATAATAACTTTATGGGTTCAACTTGGCCTGAGAAGACTGGCGATAAGACTGCAGCTCTAACAAAAGATGAGCTAAATAGGCTGGACTTTGGAAACATGCTGCTAGCTGTTACTGCAAAGAGAAAGCTGATTAAAGCTTGAAGAACATTCAAATATAGTTCAACCAATCTAAACACCAAAGAGAGAGTTTGATGTTATTGATGTTGTCGCGAGATGACCCCTGTCCTTGCACCACTCCTGCCATACACCACGATGAGGCCTGTTGAGATCGCCTAAGGCCAGGTGTGAATGTGGGTTGAAGCACCTGGGATTGGGTCTCAGGCCTGCACTGGAGGTGGCTGACAGCTGGTGTTGTAATCCACCACCTTTGTTCCAACGATGGTTTTTGAGCAGAGGAAAGGTGGTTTTGCGACTAATCTCCAGTCATTGTAATGACCAAGTGATTGTAATGACATGAGCCAAGGTGAGCCCTCATATCAGGTGATGACATGATCAACGCGTCTCAGGGCCATCTTGAAAGGGAATAACGCCAACTAAGGGTTAAATACCTGGGACACACAACCATTTGTTTTTAGAACTGAAGGAGCCTCTTGGATGAGAGGTGAAATGCCTTTGCAAACTTAAAGAAGGCCAAGTGCCTTGTTTTTTCAAGCTCTCAAGACAAACCTGTGACTTGTTTTGTGCTACTCATCTTTGCATGTCAGACACATTTGTAGTCTACATAGTTTAGCTTGTTGATGGCACGCTTTCTCTTAGTTATAGTGCCATATAGCATTCTCATCTTGCACTACCTACCTGCTGACTGGATTTGTTTTTGTTTTCTGTAATCCGTTCATTTAAGACCACTAAAACGCTCTGTCCTCATTATTTTGTTGTTTTCATAGTAATTGACCAGCTTTATTCATCTTAGAAAATTAGTTCGTCTTCTTCTAGTTTTGCCATCTATTCTATCTACAGGACAGTACGGTAGCTCATTTTTCAGTCATATTTGATATTATAACTTTGCTAAACCAAAAACTACCCGGTGTAACTTACAAACAGCTGGATACAGTATCCTTAAAGTTTTAATTCTCATCTATTTTTACAAGCCCAAAGCGCGTTCCAGCTGACTTCAGTTACTCGCATAACTTTCCAGCTCAGAAACAGCTCCAGGGTTGTTTTGTGCAGGACGCAGGCCAAAAGTATTCTCCTCTTACCGTCTTTCTCCACCAGAGTGAAAGGCTCTGTGTCCCAGCCATCATCGATGTTTGCTGGCTGAACATCAAGGTGCCCGTAAATACACACCGTCTTCTTTGCTGGGTCTGATCCTAACTGCCCCAGAATGATAGGAGGCAGGGGGATCTCCTCTCC